GCAACTCCAAGGATGGGAACAAGATGTCTAATCAAGGCTATGACATCTGAGCAGATCCAAGAAATGATATCATGTGAGGATGACAGAGGCAGAGCAGGAGCAAGCAAATGTTCAAAACCTTCAGGAGCAGAATTAGACACTCTTTATAGTTGTAGTGATGGCCCTTGATTAGTAATTACATTTAAAAATAAAGGGAAAATCCTCAAAATTATATCTGTTACAGTGAATTAGTTTGCACATATTAATTAAAGGATAGTTTAAGTTGTTAAATTCTGGGTTTTCATAATCATGGTTCATCAACCCTGAACACCCAGAAGGAGAACCCATGATTTGTTTTGGGTTGATTGACATTGTTCTGGGATGTGCAGTTTATGCACATCCCTGCCCCAGGCTCCAACAGTTGCATAACATGCAGCATGTTCTTGCATGTATTTAACATGCTCAGGAATCCATTGTTTTAAGTTCAGAAGAACGTTCTCAGTTGAGATGTCAGAGTAATACCAAATCTAAACTTGAAGTAGTATGAAGTGGTCTGAGGCCTTTCAACACTTTGCTTCTTTATTTGATTTAACTTCTTTAAGGGAAAAAGCTTGCACAAGAGACTAGGAGACACAGTACTTTACCATATATTTCCAAGCAGGCATAGGGACTGTGCCCACTTCTCCCAAAATAATAGCATTCCAGAGTCTGCTACTTCAGAATCTCAATCAGAACTGCGGGAAGAGATGGGTTTGGGATTCTTTGCTGAAATGCCAAGGCCTGCATGCTCTGAGGGAAGCCAAGAGGCAGGTGAAAACTTGATTATCTTTGGTTCTGGGGAAGACACTGTTGAACAGACAGAGCTAGAGAGAGCAAATGTAATGTGACCAATTCCATAGTATGGCTTCAGTTCTAAAGAGCAGACCAATGGAGTAACATCCAGTGTTCCCACTGTCTGCTCCACTAGCTGTGGGAACCACCCAGTGATGGAGCCTAACTCTTTTTGGTTGGGAAGAGAAGATTCAGTTCTGAACCAACTTCTTAGCATAAGCCATATTTCTGTAATAGCTGGTATTTTAGCTTTGCAGGTGCCTTTGCTGATAACTTCTTCAATACGTCTCTTTCTCAGAGCTAGCCTACCCATCCAGTTTACCCTAATAAAGGCTGAAATTATAAGCCTCTGTTCTTGACCTGCTTGAAAGGAGAGTGGGTGGCTGAGAGGGGAGATTGGCCTCCAACAACAGGCCTAGAATTATCCCAGGAAATGACTGCTGCATGATCATGGCACATTGGTGCCAGAGGCTGTATGGAAAAAAAAAATGGGTAATGCATCTTTTTTCTTTCCATAGCATCATTTCTAGGACAATTCCACTCCAGTTCTGAAAATATGTGTCATCAGCCTTACTTCTTTTCTTCTTGGGGAGGCACTTATACTTAAAGAAGCTAAAAGAAAAACAATGGCTAAAAAGCTTTGCATCTTCTTATATTTTTGTAAATTTGCTAGGAAACTCTCCCATCCTGCAAAAAGAAAAGCTAGACAGGAAAGTCACAGAAAATATAAATCAGCATGCTTTGTATTTTGAAAAAAAATAAGTTTGTTGGATCAGAGTCAGGGCTTGTTATACATTCAAGAATTACATACAAGTTATGAATTTAATGAATATGAATTTTGGTGCTTTTGCTTGTTCTATTTATCACTTGTAGCATAACAGTCCATTTCAGTTTCCCCTGCCCATCTTTTAACAGTGTATTTAAAGGTATCAGTGTAATCATGCAGATACTTCTCTGAACAACTCCTGGAGTTGGAAAACAAGCTAAATGAAAGATCTTGTCTTCTGCACTGCTTTGTGCTGTGAAACATTTAATGGCATTTCAGAAATGGAAACGTTTGAATAAGGCAGTATGTTGAAGGCAGAAGCAATGGCTGAATGGTTGCTTGTGGAGTGATTTTATATTTCCATGTCTGCAGTTCTTGCACCATTTCCTTAAATATGAAGGTGAAGTCAGTCCACATGACATACTGTGTATGTGTTGGTTATTCATTGGAACAGTAAAAGGGAATAAGTTGGCTCGACAGAAAAAAAAGTATTTTGTATTGTTAATACAGCTTCACATTGTGCGATGATGGTGTTTTGCTATCTTTATCTATAATAGAAAATCTTAATAAAAAAGAGAAAGAAACTGAGTGAAGTAATAAATTGGGTGATGCATCCTGACAAATGATTAGTGTTCTCAAAAAGGTTGGAACTTTGACATGAAAAAAGAGGAAAAAGTTTGTGAGGGAGAAAACAGCTAAAATACTTCTTAGGGGAAAAAAGTCACTTGAAGTCACTGCTGCAAACAGCCCCCTTCTCCCCTCCAGCTCTAGCCATTTCCAGTTGTTTGGCCAAACTCAAGTCTGCCACTGGCTGAAATCTCAGCCTATCCTTCTTAATTGCCAGCCCAGAGCATTTTGACTAGATGTGGATGCATTTACTGCATCCCATGCATAGGATAATGTAGTTTGTGAAACGGTGGCACAGTATAATGAACTGTTGAGCTAAGGGAGTGCCTAAGGCTGGCTCTTGCTGAGCAAGTGTGACTGGCTAATGCCACTGTTGCAGGTGCACCCTCAGCATATTTCCTCGGAAGTAGGGCCTGGTGTGTTCAGTGAGACAGATTCTGATTAAGGGTGCACAGAATTGTGACCTTAAATACATGTTAGCAACTTCCATCATGGGATTTGGCCTCTAATAGTTTGGTATTTCAATTAATTTGAATGCATATGAATGACAGTGACAAAAAGAAATCAATACATTTCTGTCTCTCCCCCACTCCTTCCCTCTCCCTCTTGCACTTTTAAACTCATGCTTTTAATAGCTGGGGTAGCATAGTGACTATGAATGAGAGCTGTAAGCCACAACATCTCTAGTTCAAATTTCACCTTAACTATTAACTCATTGGATGGCCTTAAACTGTCGGGCCAGTCTAAGACCAGGCAGTATTATCCCTATTGCCTGCAGAGTATATTGCAGGGTTTTGTGGGTGTACGAACTGCAGAGATAGTATATATAAAACTGAACATTCAGATGTGCTATGGAAATTCTCAGTTTGCAAGAATAGGTATAATGCTAATCTTATAGAATTCTAATCGTTCTTTTCTTTGTGTGCAATTTGGCCCTTTGATCCCATTTGCAGAATAGTAACTGCAGTGTTAAGATAGTTCTGCAGAACCCAAATACTGCAAACCAACTGTGATTTGCTGTATAATAAATAACTGCCTTGCAATTTGATCCTGAAAATATTACTTGGAAGGGAACAACCCTAGTTATGTAACATGCTATATAATATATGGAATGGATAGCACCAGCTGCCCATTCCAAGTTCCTCTTTCATCCTTATTCATGAAAGCTACTCTCTTGGCAACCAGTATTACTACACGTCTGTAAACAGCTTTTATAGGACTTGATTAACTTATCGTAACGGCTGATCCTATGCATTGTTGGGTGTGTTTAAGGCTGTTGATGTCAGTGTTCCAATTGTTCCTCACAGCCTAGGATTGAGCTGTGAACTACAGAATAGATGCTGTGCCAACTTTGGGATTCACTATACAAACATCAGGTTGGCTCCACGAAACTGAGAGATGGAGAAAAATAATCTCTAGCATTTCCCCTTGCATGAGAATTCATGGGGTGCTATACCAGGTGGATTGCATAGCACATCTAGCTCTTGCTCAAGCAGAAAACTGTATTGTATTTATTTTCACTCAGTGCTATAGTGCAAAGAGCCCTTCAAGGAGTTTGGTGCATGACCTCTTTGTTAGCACTGCCCTTTTCTTACAGGTTAGATATAATTGGTGACTTTGGGAGCATTTCTCCTTGACAGCTTTCTAGTATGCTTTTACGGGCTTTGTTTTTACAATTAAATTATATACTTGAAGATCATTTTCTAAAAATTATATGTTTCGCTTGTTTCAATGCGAAGGCCCGACTTGATGTGATATTACTTGTGTGAAAACAGTTAATGTGCAGGCAATGCTTAGTAGTGCAACTAAATGATTTTAGATCCTGGATTTAATGGACTTAAGAAAGGAGAAGGCTTTAGATGGACACACATTATTTTCTGTTGCTGAGCACACAACCATCATTTATCTTCTCTGCTGTTCCATGCTGTGTAACTACCTCTACATTCCTGATGACTGCCAGCCTCGACAAAGAAATCCTCTAAAAGTGTGTATTTTTGCATTTTAAACTCAAAGCATGGCCTTGGAAGGACATGGACTTTGCTGCCTTTACCTGAAACACATTTTCTTGGGGATAAGCATTCTTTTTTTGTGGAAGAGAATACTACATTTTGCAAGTGGAACTAACAAGATGAGCAGTGGTCACCATGTGTGTGACTACAGCACACTTGGATGAATCAGAGGGATGCTGCGGCATGCAGAATCAGTCCCAGGTGGACCTGGCATTCCCATACTGGTCCAGGTGCTGATGGTGGGCTGTTTGTTCTTGCTCCCACCACCTGCCGCTCCCGGGGGTTGGTTTGCGGGTTCCCTGGGCTGTGGGACCATGGACTTTGGCCAAAGAGTCCATCACTAGCTGCAATACTGGTACAGCAGTCCAGCAGGTTCAGGACTGCAGGGGCAGCTGTGATGCCCAAACCTGCCTTGAAGCTGGTGCAGGTAGCAGCTTTGGGGTGGATGATTGCCAGAATCACAGCAGGAGAGAAAGGATTAACTACTTCTTCCCTACCCGCTGACTGCTTCCCTACATAACTACAGCAGAATAAGTGTTAATCACATCCATGAACTGAACACAATGAATCATTTGGGCCTAAAATACAGCACAGAATTTAGTGTGTGATTCCATAATATCAGATGGAGAAAAGGGCTTGACCAAACTACACAGTGCCTTCTATTTCTAGTTAAGAAAGCAATATTTATCATTTTGGGGTTTTATGCTTCCCCTCGGCTCCCATCCCAGGTTCCTTCCAGGATGTATTTCAGCTTAAAATGATAAGAAAGACTCTTTTGTGTTTTACAGTATTTTGGAAGTTTGCTTGTGATATTCTGCATTGAATTGGCCTGTGGCGTTTGGACCTATGAACAGGAAATCACGGTGAGTGTGGGGCTAGGGAAACATGCCTTGTTCGTATGTTTAAATATCTATTTAAATATTCTATTTGCATGTCTGATTCTGACTGCAAGCCCTTCCCTCCAATTTATGCCGCCACCCCAAACAGGGAAACAAGTCCTATGAAAATCACTAAGATTTTTAGACTACTCTTGATTCAATGAGATTTTTACTATTTAGGATCAGAGTAAGTAGAAACCTTCAAAGTTTTAATATGATGTCCTCTGACCTGTTCTCATTGTTTACAAAAATGTAAAAATAATATAATGGGTTGCCTCTAATGTTCATCTAAATCAAATTTATTTCAGTGGCCATACTCTAAAAAGCCTTAATATTAGACACAACCCTGTGTATGGGTAAATTGCATTTATTGCAGTGTTCTCCTTGACCCTGAAATTCATTTCATCGGAGGGAAGCTGTATTCCGCTTGCTGTGACCAGTCACTAGCCTAGTTCCAGATAAGCGGAGCACTCTTAACTGACCCATTAGATGGGTCTAAGTGATACAAGATAGCTGTGACCGACCAAAGGTCTGTTGATTTCAAAAAATGGGATGCATAGCACAACCCTGTAGGTGCCTACTCATAAGCTCTGTTGTGTTCAGTGGAGCTTACTTTGCAGTATGTGTGCATAAGGCTGCAGTCATGAAGAGCAATGCTTACTCAAAAGTCAGTCCATCGTGTCCAGTGGAACTTACCACCTACTGAGTTTTTAGGATAGCTTTCTATTCCAACAGTAAAAGAGAATGTGCTGCAAAGTCTAGCAGTCTCACCTTAAATACTTGTCTTCAATGTAAAACACACAAACCAGTGCTAAACCCACAACTCTTCAGGCGGCATCTCTGCCCTCTCCTTTTCAAGCTAGAGGTGTGATTCTTGCATAGGCAAATAATTTAATCACTGAGGGGAAAGAAAGCTGGCATATTATTCCATGAGCAGTTGAATTCTCCCATCTTATTTTCCACTTGGTGCATATTTATGAAGAGAATGACAAGAGTTTTCCACAGGGCTGCCAAGATATACCCAAGGCAATGATATTTTCAACAGCGGCAAGTGTGTTAGAAATTACCTTGCAGTGTTTTCGCTGTTTTCTTTCCTCCCCTTTCCTTTCTTTCTCTCCTTTTTTTTTCCTCCAAGAGAGAGTTCATTTGGTGTTTGTACAGCACTGGGGCCCAAGGAATTTCTGGCAGATCGTCAGTCTAAAATTGCATGCTAACAGTTTTCATCAAAATTCATTCCCTTGCTGTACAGATTCCAACAAGAGGCTGCTATTCCAAATATAACCACAGTTAAAAATATTACATGGTTGAAATGTCGGAATACAAATGGAAGTGTAATGATATGTGTTTCACTCACCACATGAACACCACTGTCCTCCCCTGGGGGGTTTGGTGAGGAAAAGCTTCTCTGAGCATGGCTATAACCTTTCTCAGTGGGAACTATCCACGGGATGGACCCAAACGGAGGTGCTGCGAGTGAAGAGGTGGTGGCTGGCTCTGGACTTGAGGTGAGCTGTCCTCCATGGGCTCCCCTCTCTGACAGGGCCTGTGTCTCCTCACACTGCCGCCACCATCTTTCCAGTTGCTTTCCTCCACACAACAGAAGAGGCTGGTTCTTCTGTGATGCTAGAGGGTGCAATGGATGGGCCTCTCAGGGAATGTAGGGATTTTGGAAGGTACGTGGTATGTCTGTCCATGTGTACAACATGCATGCGTGCATGTAGGGGGGGGAGCCAAAAACCCAGGAATTATCATCAGGAGGGCAGGCCCCTTGCAGTACAGGCTTCTCCCATTAGGTGAGTGTTCCAGGAACCCATCTGCATTAGTGTACCAAACTGGGTTGTTGTGAGAAGCTGCGTTTGGCTTCATTGAGGGTTTTTGGAGACTCTTCCAATGTGTTTGCCTATTCCGTCATGGCTGATCTACATGAACAATGTGCAGTGGTGAAATTTGTTCTGCTGAATGTTCAGCACTTTTTGACCAAAAATGGCATGGACCTTGTGCCCCACCTTCATTTAATATTTGGGTAGATTCATACTGGGAGAGGTGCATTGTCAGGTATTGTGATCCCAAGGCACAAAAGACTTCGTAGGTCAAAACCATCACATTCAGGTAGGCGGCGCACGTGGTTTATGCTCAGATCTCGTCCCTGCTATCAATCCTTATGCAGCATTTTACCTGAGCTGCAGCTTCTGAACAGTCTTCAAAGGCAATAATAACCTTAGTGCATGGCAGTAATCTAACATGATTACAATCCAGGTTATCTCCATCCAGATAGGAGCAGAGCTACCACCAAGCAAAGCTAGTAGTTGGTGCAGCATGTTGCTAGAGGCGTCTGAGCCTCAAGTGACTATAAGGACTCTAGGAAGGACCTCACACTATAAGCCTGCTTCTTGGAGAGGAATGCACCCTGCATCCAGTACCAAGTAAAGCTTCATGACTTAGCTTGGATGTGAATTCAGCTTTCCAACATTCTGCATGTTATACTCCACTAACTGGAATAAAAGAAGTGCTGTAGAAATTATCAAGATCAGTAAGTGTGAGCTCATGAGAAAAAGATCCATGGTGTATATCTTCTTTGTGTTGTTTTTGTTGCATCCTAACCCTTTTATTAAAACAATGAATTAAATATAAAGATTACTTTTAATTATCCCAATTGCTGTATATGCAAGTTCTTTAATGAGTTAAATCCAGATTTAGACATGCTTAGAGTAGCTCCTTTGAGATCATGACTAATTTGCCCCAATTATTTTGGTCAATCCACTGTAAATACAACTAAATCTGGATCAATGCTAGTTTATTATTGGAAGCAGCCTCCATTCATAGGATGGAATTACACAAAACCTGCAACCTGCACAATGATTTGCAGATGGAAAGATGGTGGAACCTGATGAAGTAGGCAGAACCTAACTGGAACACCAGGAGGCCAGATTTAGTCCATGGACCTGTTTTTTGTACTCCTGCATTAATGTATGCTCCTGGAACTTCAATTACATTTCAAAAAAAGATACCAACTCATCAGTTGTCACAGATGAAGAAAAAAAATCCCAGTGTAACTGTTTTTGGGATTTTTTTTGTTTGTGAATTTGTGAAAACTTCATTTTAAATCACTTAATCTTGATTAAAATGCACACTCACACACGCTTGTACAGTTTCAGCATGAAAGTGGCAGATATATGTCACACCTGATTCACTTACTTATTTTTTCCCTTATATTAAAACATCAATCATAATTTTGAAGGTAATTTTCAGTTCTTCCAGTGGTTGTGTTTTTCCATTTTAGGATTTCAAGCAAAGCTGATTTAAGTTTGAGTTAATGTCTTGTGATATTTGTCTCCATAAACTTTGTCGCACTGCAGTTTCCAACATTTTTCTTTATTACTTCTGCTTGATGTACACACATCTGTTCAGCGTGGGTGTGTGATTTTGTGAACATTCTTACTCTGTTCTGTCTGTTAATACATGTAGATATCGATTCTTCAGACAACTTTTCTCCTTGTTTGCTTTTGGCATTTTCCAGCCTTTTTAAATCATTGTGCTGTGTGTAGTTTACCTGTCTTAATTATCTCTGTCTAATGACAAACCTAAATTTTCCCTTTTCCCTTTGACCAACTAGTTTAAAAACATTTGCTTAGACTTCGGTCCTAGGCGGTCTTGAACAAGTGGTATTACCTCTGAGTAAGTATGCACATAATTGTGCTCCATGTCATTGTAAAAACATGCATAATTTCTCCCTCTTTGGATTTCTTTTTCCGTACAACTGCTTTGATCTTTTATTAATGTCTTGTGGCTTAATTTCCTCTATCGCTTGCTCTGTTTACACAATATAACCTATGCAGTGATGATGCATTTAGGGGTGGAGAGAAGATCACACCAGCTGACCTTGCTCCATGAACATTGAGTGATTCCTAGGAACAGATTGTGTTTGTATGAGCTAGTTGGCTTGTCCATACCTTTGGAACACTTGTTCTGTGTTTTCACTTCTTGGTTGCTTGCCGAATCTTAGATTGCATTCCCTCCTAACACTTTGGCCTGTAACATCCATCAGTATCTGCCAGCATAGTTAGTGGACAGAAATGATGGGAGTGTAGTCCGAAATATCTGGAGGGCACCACATTGGAGAAGACTGGTGTCAGATTAACTAAATACAGAGGTTGTTCCAATGGTTGTGCTCCTGTCTTCCTCAGGTATACACTGCCTTTGCTTTATTTTTCCACATTTGGGAGGTGTATCCAAATCTATGTTTCACTGACAAAGGCTTAGTGTATTTATTGCTTTTATTTTGTACATCTGTGTCCCACATTTATTATTATTATTATTATTATTATTATTATTATTATTATTAGTTTTTATATGCTGTCCCCTTCCTATATAGCCTCGGGACGGCTCACAGAAATTGAGCCAGAAATTGAATCCCAGCAGAAATTTCTGCTATAATGGAATTCAAGGTGGCATACATGAAGTTCCCAGGTCTTCCATCCAGGCACTGACCAGATTACACCTTCACCAAGGTGGTTTTATCATCTGTTTTCAGTTCATTCCTTTCCTTCTCTTAATGAAGCTATTGCTTAATGAGAACAAACCAGGGTCTCACTATGGTTTGAGATCCTGGCTTATTCCTGGACTCTAGTTTAAACAAACCACCGTGCCCCAAGTTCAGGTATCACAGGAAAGAGTGGTTAGTTTAAAATGGAAAGGAGATTCTTTTTGGTGTCTTCCTTTTGACAGGTGAAGTGTGGGTGAAGGGAGTGTACATGGCTAGAGCTCATTTTCATGGCAAGAAACCATTGGACTGAACTGTACAAATATCTTTGATTAGGAGATAATGTGAGGTAATGCCTAATCCAGGAATAGACATTCCTGTTAATCCAGGAATGTACCTTCATTCACAATTGTTCCTACTTATAGCAGTGCTCTAAAGTTATTGTTGTGAAGACCCGGTTTTTCCCCGCACTGTCAATGCAACGTGAAACATCTCTCAGGAGCCA